GGCTTGGTGGGCATGGTGTGGCTTGGTGGGCATGGTGTGGCTTGGTGGGCGTGGTGTGGCGTGGTGGGCGTGGCAGGGGAAGGATACTGCAGAATCTCCATTCCTTCCCCACTCTGGAGCCAGCCAGAGGTGGCATTTGCCGTTTCTCTAAACTACTCAAAATTTCCACTATTGGTTCTCCAGAACCTGCTGGATTTAACTCCTGAAAAAAGGTCTGAAATTGTGGAATGATTTTCATGGATGGGGAGTGGAAGTTTGGTTGTGGAATACCGTCAGAGTGGCCCAAGATGGAAGTGAAGCCTCTGGGAGAATAACACTGGGAGGTTTAGCAAACGGTTCTACCTGGAGCAGAGAAAATGTGGATGGCTGCTTAAGGGGCTTATGGACAAATGTACAAAGAACACTTGGGGTGTTCTTAGAGGTGTGTATATTGGTTGGAATGCAGAATCACTGAATGTCAGGGTTGGAAGGGACCTTGGAGATCATCTAGTCCAACTTCAGCCAATTGCAGGAATCCCTTAGGGTAGCATTCTTGGCAGACAGCCATCGCATCACCACACTGTCAGTGAAAAAGACTCCCCCACCTTCTGGGGCTCTTCCTTCCTTCCACTGTTCTGTAACTGGGGACAGCCACCCTACACTTTCTTGTAACTTAAACTATTCTTTATGCTCCTGGCCAAGCCAGGCCTTCTTTTCCAAATGCTCTCCTGCTGACTGCCTCATGCCTGGGTCCGGCACTCAGCCTGGCCCTCAGCTCCAGATGGGCTCTCTGCACTTAGCCCAGCCTCCCTACTTTCCCAGGGCAGGAGCAGCATTGATCTCTCTGGAGCTTCTGCCCCAGGCTCTTCCTTGTGATTCATCAAAGATCCCCCAAGGGTTCTTGGGGACTTAAGCTGAATGTAGATCCTGCAGGGAATTCATTGAAGACCAAGGGAGCTGTGTTTGACAGGAAAAATGGAGAAAATAATGACGTAGTAGATGTAAATGGTGCATTAGATATAAAAACCTAGATCAAGTCGATGCATTTATGGATTGTTGACAGAATGTTTACTAATAGAGACATTTTAAGATACAAATGCTGGAGGAACATAACATCAGTTGTGAGCAATGAATCCTTGTCCAAATAAGCAAAAATGGCTATAAAGGTTAACATCCTTGCTTAACAATGGTAATTGGGACCAGCAAGCCCACTGCCAAGCCTGGTGCCAATGATAGTGTCTGCCGGCGTAAGGTGAATTCCGGTCCCAGATTCCTCCGATTGCCACGTGTGGCCTCCTGCCAGCTTCCTCGTTGACTTTGGTTGTCTGAAGCGAAGACTGCAAATGGGGACTCCGTGAATGGGTCATTTCAAGCACCCAAACTGCGACGGCATGACTATGGGAACCTCGAGGGCTGTGACTACAAGGACTAGTTCTAGGTCTCCCATCATACTTTGATCCCTGAATCAGGGGCTCTTCAGGAAGGGCTACCGGGGTGTAAAAGCTGCTCCCTGATGTGAGAGCCGAGCGGATGCCGGGAGAATAAAGTAATTTTTAAAAAGTTCAATGAATGTGGCACTTGGGAGGCTGAGGGACAGCGGTGAAGTTCAAATTTTTTTTTTACTACTGGTTCTGTGGGGGTGGCTTGGTGGGCGTAGCAGGGGAAGGAATTCTGTGAGGCAAAGGAACAAATAACATCTTAAAAATCCCCACTCCTACCCCACTCCGGGGCCAGCCAGAGGTGGCATTTGCCAGTTCTCCAAACTACTCAAAATTTCCGCTATCGGTTCTCCAGAACCTGTCAGAATCTGCTAGATTTAACCCCTGCTGAGGGACAACAGAAAAAGGCAAAGGGCTGAGTGGAAAA